ACACAATTTCTATGTAGCTGTTGCTCACGTTATGGCTACAAGCGGCGCCCCCTTTCTGAGTTTTCCCGGTGAATTACGTATAGGCCAGTCCGCCCCTGGTTACTGTAACCACAGTTCCGTTCTTCTCTTTAACTATAACTTGATTCAGGTCGAACGCTGTGCTCAACCCTGAGATGTTTAATTCGCTTAGGTACAGTAGTTTGACCAGGAATACTTGTACTATATTTCTTGTTTAATTGAGCTTTCTCTTTCATGTGCTTTCTTGTCAACATACAATTTTTAGGCCGATTGCTGTGACCTCGAAAAGTGCCTTGAAAACGATTTTTATTTCACCTGTCTTGGAACTGAAGTATTTTACAGGAACTAACACTTTCGAACACGCTAAGTTCAATTCCGAAACGTTCGCGCTCTATAGACGTTGTAATCATCGAATAAACAGCTTATGCTCACATTTCTCCACCTTGTCGTAAGTTTACAGAGCAGATTTTATGCTTTGGCACTGATATTTGTCTTTGATGTGAACATTAATTCTTCTAGTTTAAGATTATTTAACAGTGATCCTGTCGTAAGTCTTCTACCAGCAACACAATCATCGACAATATTTCATTTTAGTGTTGTCTTTGCCGTTCCGTTGGCTTCGCGTTACTTTTGTTTTAAATTCCTTGATCGCGTTAAAAGAGTTATTTCTCAGACCGGAGATGTAGCCAAAAGACTTAACATTAACGTCCTTGTGATTTTATTGAGATAGAGCTCGAGCTAGAACTGATGATTCTAGAAAGCTTTATCTGTATCTTCTCAAAGTTGTAGACAAGATATGTTGTTTACGTTCAACACGCATAATATTACATAACTCAAAATGATTCGAGCAAAACCGGCCTTTTGTTAAAAGGAAGATTGGTTAATAGAAATAGGTATTCTTGAGTGACATAATCGTTTGTCGTCATCGATCCGTGTTTGAACAATGAAAAAAGTTGTCGTGAAATTAGTGAAGATAAAATTGCAGTTTATGAGAAAACTGCAGGCCTACGGAGCGGTAACTTTTCAGGTTTGAACTCAGTGTGTTCGAAAGTGTTAGTTCCCGTAAAAATATTTCAGTTCCAAGACTGGTGAAATGAAAGTGAACGATATCGGGACGCAGCAAACGGCCTATTTATGTTGACCTTCTTTTCGGTATCTCTTCATTCTACTTTGTTACGTAAATCATCACGTATGACTAGAAGGTTTGATTCTAGCCTGCGTAGCAGGCGTTTAGTTCGGGCTGGAGAAGAGAGGGCGTCGTTAAATAAACGCCTGCCCAAATGCCCATGATTAATTTGTTCTTCTCCGTAGATTCTTCTGAAAAGCTTCCCATTGGTCAATCTCGTTAACGGAAGTAATTACGTAACTCAAATGTCAACAATAATTTTGCATTTTTGCTCGCGTATCGAAAATATGCTGCCTGTTAATGCTTTCGAGGGAACTCTTATATTTCAAGTATTTAGGCTTCGAAATTCAGTTGAAACCAGAATAGAGAAAGTCTATTATTAATTTGCTACGTGGTGAAGACGCCGGTTATCGCGATTCTTCCTACGGAATACGGCAAATCGGCAAATCAAAGCTTGCCCGAGCAGGGATCGAATATTCCTTATAGTTGTCTTGTTATTTGTTCACTTTAAAGTATAATTCAAGCCCATATAGTTGAGGCTTCATCGCTTGGCATTACAGCTATGAGGTTGGATGATGATTTTAAGAATAACATTTCGAAACATGCTCAACTGTTATTTGCAGTTAATTTACTATACGGCAGATTTAATACGTTAAACAACCGTGGTTCAGGAGCCTTTTAAAAGATAAAAGCTCTGTGTTGCGACTGTTGTCTAAAATAGCTTCAAAAACTCATTAATAATTCATTAGGAAAGAAACAAAAAGAAAAATCATAAACGTGTATCTTTATATGTGATAGAGATTTCCCTTGATTTACATAAACTTTAACTTTGATTTCTGTACATACACAACGAATTTTTTGAAAGCTATATTTCGCCAATGAACTTATACTAGATCGATCGTTTTTGAAGCAATTTAAAACATTCGCAGTGCGTGTTTTATGAGACCATCCTTATATCTGATAAAACACTGCTGCTCATGTTTTAAATAGTACATAAAATTATTTTTGTGTGTGTTGGTGTTATGTACTCAGGTGAATATGATGTATGTGATGTTATACTGAGTATGCATCCACACCGGGCAAGCTGAAAAGTTAGCTTTGCCACGGTGGGAATCGAAGCCGCGACCTTTAGGATACTAGTCCAATGCTCTTCCAACTGAGCTACGTGGTCAAGTCGTGGTGTGGATGCATAGGCGTGGTTGCCCGGTGTGGATGCATACTCAGAGTAACATCACAAACATGGTACATAAAATCTCTGCAAATCTCCCTAGTTGCCGAGCAAAATGCATGCATGATGTTAAATATAAATCTCGACTATGATTGGATAATGGGTAAAGGTGCTAATTACAAAACGTCAATCATCCTTAATGGGCGAAAACAAATTTGTCATAGCCATTTGGGCAGGCGTTTCCTATCAAGGCAACATATGGCGAGATTCCGGTAGTAGAGTGAAGGCTGATTTCGACTCCGGATAATAAGCAGTGGATCGGAACAATTGAACAAAACAAAATCCGCGTATGCGCCATCAGTAGAAATTTTTGGTTCCGATTGATCCAGCGACGTTGCTAGCCGGATAATAAAAAGTTGAGATAGTTTCAACTTTTTTTTGGTCGGTCCGCGGATGAAACTTGGCTACCAATCAAAATGCCGTATTATCTCACATAAATTAAAATAATTAAATAATACCTGTATAAAATTTACAGAACACTTCAACTTCAACATTCACTTTTGACCAGCATGGCCTAATCCTGCGATGTATAAATGCAAGATATTCACCACAACTTGACCTTGGAGTCAGTTTTACATGTTCTGCTGGAGTTGAGATATCCGATGTTGAAGCTTGGAAAGGGTTACAATTTCTTATCTTTTCTTCAGTGAGTTGGTCGGAGCCAGGAAACCAGAATTTGTCTCATAATAGTATCTTGGTTTTCACGAAGCCTTGGTTCCCAGTTTGTGCGGTTTTGTTTTTCAGCATAGGTGGCATCACCAGTGGCGTTGCCTGTCCGACAATTTAAAATTAGAAATTGATTGTTTTCACAGTCAATGAACACGAAAATATTTGCATATCCAGATAAAATCGTCGGGCTGGCTGTCCTACTGGCTATCACGAGCTAGACAATTTCCGATCAGGATTATTTCTTTATGACTAACTGCTAATTTCTCCTTGAGCTTTGTGTAATTTTGAGCTTCCCTATTCGACATATGACCAGTCTCTTTTGGTACTGCATTGAACCATGCATAGTTGATATCTTCTTCTTCTAGACTGGGTATTTGGGACTCTGACACGTTCGGTTGTCAACTGGTGGATTTTCTTCCAGGACGATATTACAGCTCACAATCATAAGGCATTACTCTCAATTTTCGTCGATCTATTCGGCTTGACGTATACTTATTGCTCTTGAAAAGGCTTGTGGTCGGTGATGATGTGAAATTTTGTACCGTAAACGTAAAGGTGAAAATGTTCAGCGGCAGAGACTACGGCTAACATTCTCTCTCAGTTTGGGAACATGTTGATTCGACTTGCGGCTTGCGTAGCGGATAACTTTTCGTTAGATCTTGCATTAGTGAACCTCCAAATCTTATCGAGCTTGCGTCTGCAACGATTTCCGTCTCTTTTCTCGGATCAATACGTCCAGCAAGAGCTTGTTTCAAATTGCTAAATAGCTGTTATCGTAATTGAATACGCCGCTGCGGCGAACCAGCGGTATCTCAGTGGGAGTGCGCACGAAAACGAGGCTAAAGGGTCGAGCAGACTCGAACTAAATCACATAGTAAAATATAGTAAAATATGGCAACAACTAACAATATAAACGGAAATTCTTTGCCCGAGGCAGTGTTTGTTTGTGCAGAAGACAAGGTTCAATTGGTTAGTGGCGCTTGGCCTCGACATATTACTAAATCAAGGCTGAAAGAATAGCTTTTCTATCGCAAAGGTACAAGTAAAGATGGAAGTACCAAATCTGATGCAATGAAAGCTGAGCTAGTAATAAGTTATTTTGTTGTATTTTATATTGTCACGATGATCTTAAAACTGAATGGATTTATCTCTAGCAAGTTTTTAAAGAAAATTATACCTACTTCGTTTTATACAGGGTTGTCAGCTATATAAAAAATGGTTGGGACGTCGATTTCGCACCGAAGTGGCAGCGTCTATTAGGAAGTAAACAAACCAAATCTATTGATACAGCAGGCACTGCATGTGAGTTTCCCAACACTGGACAATGTCAATGGATCCCATTACACAATGCAAAGTGTCATGTGCCCAGCTTCAATATGCAAAATATGGTTTCATAATTTATTGAAAGAAAGGCAAAAGACAACGAAGCTAACAAGGACTACAAAAATGTAAACAATAAGACGTTCGGCCTATTTAGATACGGACACATCCAAAACATTGAGCTGGCAAGTGATAATGACAAAGTTCATTTTAAATGCAATTGCCTCCCTGAAATGAAGAAGGACTCTATATATAAACTGAAGCTTTCGATGCTTAAAAGTGTTGTTCATGAGGGGGAAATAGTATTTTCTAGCTGTGTTTGCCCAGCTGGGAAAGGTCCTCTTGGATAATGTAAACATATTGCAGCTTTGTGTTATGCTCTTGAAGAATTTACTAGACTAAAGTGTATGCCAGAATTTGAAACATGCACTTCAAGACTTCAAACATGGAACCAACCAAGAAAAAGAAAACTTGACCCAGAAACAGTTTATGATATTGATTTCTCCAGGAAGATTTATAGGAAACAAAAGAAAAAAATCCCAAGCCTTTGACTGGTCCAAGACGACCAAATGATCGAAATGATGATTGCCAAAGTGTAAACAAATAATTTCTTAACAAGATCAAGGAAGTGATACCAAATTGTGGATTTGTTTGTTTACTATCAGATGAAAAGCTTGACCAAAAAGAAAGTACTGGTACTATCATTTTCCCCATTAAGGAGCATCCAGTATCTTTGACTCAAATCTTTAATAGAGCAGAAAGAGTCAAGCGAAATTTTATTGTTGATGAGCAAGAGTGAACGAATATTACAAATGCAACGAAAAAGCAAAGTAAATCTAAAGAATGGTACCTACACAGGCATGTTCGCATTACTGCTTCTAAAAGTAAACGAGCCCTACTTAAACCTACTACAAGTCCAACCAAAGCAATAAGAGAAATTTTGCCCTACAATGGTGATTACCAAAGAACCATGATGAAACAAGGTCTGGAAGATGAAAAATCAATTACAAAACACTATGAGGATAAGATAGGATGTAAAGTCAATGAAACTGGCTTTATTATATCTCGAAGTCACCCATTCCTCGGTGCAACTCCAGATGGGGACGTAGATGGTGGACTTGTAGAAATAAAGAGGATCTTTTCAAATGGTTTAACATTGTGTGATGCAGTTTGCAAGCGTAACATATGCAAACAAAGTAGTCATGGGTTGGTTGTAAATAAGAATCACAAGTTTTATTACCAAATTCAACTTCAAATGTTTTGTGCCGAATGTAACTGGACTGATCTTGTACTATCAGATCTAAATGATTTAATTATTTTGCATTTCAAGAAATACAATCTCTTTCTTTCTAGTATCATCCCAAAGCTGGAGTTATTCTATGATAAAAACATTGCTTTGGAACTAGCATATCCAAGAGTTGCTTATGGACTCCAACGGCTGAGCAAACTAATTGAAGAATAATCATAGATGGATTTTCTGGGAGTTGCACACCCCACCCAGAAAATATGTTGCACCCCCCAAAAAAATAACAACGTTTTCTCACCCCACCAAGAGAAATTTGCACCTTCGAAAAGACCAAAAGACTAAGTCAGACCAAAAACAAGGATTTTGAACCAAAAGACCAAAAATCTGAAAATTTTCTGGGGGCTTGCCCCCTCACTCCCATTCGCAACTGTCCCCCCAGACTCCGGCTGAAGCTTGCTCGGCGGCACTACTCACCCTGTCGCTCACCTCCCCTCCTAAATTTTTGGCACCCCCCTAAATTTTCCGCACCCCCCCCCCGAGAAAAATCTGAAAATCCGTCTATGAGAATAATCATATACTTATTCCATAACCAACTTAGGTTTTGATTAGACTTAGATTACATTTTTAGTTGTAATCTAATTTGTTATCTTCAACACAATGAATATGCTTTGCAACATAATGACTTGGCTAAATTTAGCACACACTGCAATTTCTGAGCACATTTCAGATTTTCTTAAGGCAAATATCAACTTTTTGTTATGTGGTCAGATGATGTTTACCATCATACTTTGAAAATCCATTGTTTGCTCCAAAATTGGGCCAACAATTGTAATGTGCAAACAAAACTCAATTTACACGCAGTAGCGTAGCCAGCCCGACGATTTAGTCCCGCTATGCAAATATTTTCGTGTTCATTGCCTGTGAAATCTATCAATTTCTAAAGAAATTAATAATGATAATAATTTTGAATTTGCATAGCGGGACCAAATTGTCGGCTGGCTACGCCATTGTTTACATGCCAATTTTGAGAATAGAAAATAGAAGTCTAGAATATGAGCCATAATTATTCAATATAGGTAGTAGAAAATGTCTCAATAAGTCCCATGAGTTCACTACTTTAACCCTTAACCTTTCACTAAAGGAGGGTGGAAGTTTGACAACATGGCACAAATGAAAAAAAATCATGTCAATTAGTCCATTCGTGCAGAGTGTAATTGGAACAAAGTTCAAAATGTGGTAATTTTTTATCCTTTCCATATCTCTTTCCACATGGATTTTCAACGTAGCAATTCGTCTGGTTTCCAGAAGTTCCCCCTCCTCAAACTGACCCTGTTGATTCATAAATGGTGGGATATTTACTTTAACTTCTTTGCTTCCTAACATTCCCTGTATTTTGAAACCACGGTCAGCCATTATACAAACACCATGCTGCAGTTTGTCAATGAGCCCTGATCTTTCTGTCAATTCTTTGTCAGAAATACTACTACTATAAAGTGTTGAAATAAATTATATCCCTCCTTTTGGCACAATACCAGTTAACGCTTTTAGAGTGTTAGTGTTTTTGTATGATGAGAAAGTTAGCTGTTGAGCGACCGGATTGTTGGGCTTCTCTATATAGATCTCTGTAGCATCAATTATTAGGGAAGTAGATGGATATTTTTTCATAAAGCATTCAGGCATGTGTAACTTAACGACTTCTTTTGAAGGAAACACATCAAGTTCTTTAAATCTGAAAAACATAAACCTAATCCAGGTGTTGATAATCTGAGATACAACACTTTGACCTAACCCAAATCTGGATGCAAAATCATCTTCGAGCAAGCCAACTTTTAGACGACACAACACCATGAAAAATTCATTCTCAACAGACAATGTTCTACTGGGCCCAGGCTTATACATGTAATATTTCCTTGAATCAGAAGTTGAATTACTATTGTTCCTGTAGTCCAAATGAGAGGCTGCTTCTCTACCCAGGAAATCAAGAACCATTGAGAATATCTCAAAATTTTCAAAACCAGTGTAACATCTGAATAGCTTATTGTTATTCTTTACAGTTTCAACATTAAATAATTTTTGCCTGTTCGGTAATTCCAACTTGTTTATCGCATTACTTTTCCGATTTAACAGAGCTTCTAGTTCCATTATATTTGCATTGTATTCACGATCTTTTCTTTGCAGTTCCTCATGTAAACGTGACATTTCTTCCTCCTTTAACTTAAGTTCTCGTGTAAGAAGCTCATTTTCATTCGAATTTGATTCCACAGGATCATCACTTTCCAGTAAATCAGGATTTCCCTCGCTGCATACAAGCTGCTCTGACTTTGCATCAGAAACAGTTTCGAGGTTTTCAATGTTCGAATCAAAATTAAATTTACGTACTACCTTTCGCCTAGTTCTAGCCCCAGTGCTTGTGGATGTTTCTCGATAGCAAGGTTTTTTTCTTTCTGGCTTTTTCACCGTGAAAATGAATTTTGTGGGCACAGAACCTGGCTTCAAACGGATTCTCTGCCCTCCAAGAGGCATCGTGATTGTGAAGCTTACAGAATCAAAATGTTAAGAACAGACATACGAATTTTTGGGTTTTAGGGGTGTTCTCCCGACGTAAATTAACTAGCCATTCATTCAAAAGCTTCTTGTTGACAAAGGAAGTCTATGCCATGACAAATCTTTCCGTTTTGAGCTTCTATTGATGCATCCAAAAGCAATAGAATGTTTAACCATTCTTGTTCTTTGTCATGCAAATACGGCAATTAAAAAAAGTAAACATGACCCTATAGCCTCGTTTCGATGTTACACTAATGCAGATACCGCTGGTCCGTAGCATCGACATATTCAATTACGATAACAGCTATTGGCAATAATTTGTCTATGTTCGTTATCGGTCCATTTTCAGGCGACGTTGTTCCTGGCAGGTTGGTTGGTAGGTACAGTAGGTAGGTAGAACTTTATTTAAAAACAACACGCTATCCTTATCAACTTTCTCTGATTTCCAGAAAGGGTGTGTCTATTACATGAATATATAAATATTTACAAAAATCAACCTATTAGTATGGCTATAGTAACTATATTTACAATTTATTACGAGAACTTGTGAGCACTAATTCCATTTTTAAATATCAGCTACGAATCCGAATCACACTAATCTGGGGGTAAGGAATTTCACAATTTCGCCCCATTGTAAGAAAAACTGTTTTCAGATTTTCAATACGTCTTGCGAAAAGGTGTTTGCAGAGAGGTAGAGGAGCCCATGAGCTCATAATATGTGATGTCACTTTTACACATAGAAATATTGACTAGTGCGTTTGGAGCCGAGTCGTTTAAGACTTTTTACATTATAATTGCTTGACTTGATTCGTTGAGACTCGAGAGTTTGAAGCCAGGTTGAAAATCCAATATGCCCCCGGTATCCCACACTTCACTGAAATAATCAAATTGAGGACGAAATAGTGCATTGTAGAGCTAGGTCAAGGTTTTCCTATTCACAAATTAAATATTGGATTCTTCCTATACTGTACCTTCTATGCCAAGTTTGTGAACTTGTTTTGGTAGGCGGGCTATATTAAATAAAGCCATCTGAAAACTCCTAGTTTTGAGGAAAGATACCAGATATAGACTCTTGACAATTACCGTTCCCATTTTCACATGATCAACTTGTAATAACAAACTACCAGAGGGGTTATTAAAAGTCTAGTCTCTGGAATTCAAATGTAAGTACTTACAGTATATTAAAATCCTCTATAAATACCAATCCACTTTCTCTACATGAGGATTTTATAATAGAATTAGCTTGTCTTACCCGGTCTGCAATGCCCTTGACATCTTTTCTAGTAAGAATTCCAGAAACAATGACCTTGGTATAAGGACACTGCGTGATGATCGAGTGTAACATATACTATCAGCAACAGATTTTGAGTCGGCGTTTCGTAGGTCATTAATTCCGATCCTGTCTGCAATAAAGGTTTCGCCGGCCTTTTACGCAGTATTGGCTTGGTGTAATCGTCAGCCTTTGATATGCTTGATAATTGAGTCAGCGACGATTTGGTCGAGAACCTGTATATGAGTTTGTGACATTTCATTTAGAACAGATAGTTTCAACTGCTTTAGGGCAAGTTGATCATGACTTCAAAACGGTAACTTTGCCCGAACCTGAATCTGGGACAAACCGTCCGAAAATGACCACACCCAAAAACGATGCTTTCGCCATAGTGCTATCTATCAAACCATAAAAGCTTTGGTTATTCGGAGGTGTTTATAAGGTTCAGAGATATGGGTGCTTTTAGGGATGGTTATTGGTAAGTATGAAATGCCTAGTACTGATATTTCGCAAGGCCATGCAATACTCATGCAACTTCAGATAAACAGCAGTGGACATACATTATATTGTTTTCCTACATTTTTTAATAGAAATATAATTGGTACTTATATTAGTATATTATTAATGTCTTGGTGTAAAATAGTTAATATTTTGTGACCTAAATAGTAATTTGAAATGTACCTACCGCCTGAAAATGGACGCATTTGGCCATATTCGCCACTTTACGCTGCTGTTTATGGCCGATACTCGTTGAAATCCTTCCAAATACGGTATTGTACGTCAGCCCAGACATAATGGTATCAAGCACATTTTAAGCAAGCTTTAACTAGGTTTCAAGTAGATCCTAGCTGTTTAACCATCGACAAGGTAAAACTCTACTTTGTCAAAATTAGGCGCCATTGTGTCATCCTGTGTCGGTTGTCTACAATTCGGCCTCATTATTCTTCCATCCAAGCCATTTCGATTGCACTAATAACAAATTTAACCCTTTATATTAAGGGTATGAAAATAAAATTTTGAACAAAAGATACGAAATGCAGCATTTTATCACCCTTTCAAAAACTCATTAATCATTCATGAAGCAATTATCCAATCTTGAGTAAAGAAATTAGTCACGTGCATACGTCTTTATACCAGCTAAAGAACACTTTAACAAAAGACCATTGTTATGCAAACTATATAAAGATTTTTATATAAAGATTTTTATATAAAGATTTGACTTTGCGAACTTATTAATTTAGCCGTGCTTAATATTATTAATAATTCCGTTTATCTTTATCGGCGAGAAAACAGGTTCACTACAATCTCATTTTGTCGGGTTGAGTTCAAATTTATTGTAAGTGGACCAATTCACAATACAATTAGACTTAGTAACATCTTGCAGGGAACTTGTATACTCTTGATTATATTCAGAAACATTGGTGTCGTCTGCGTATTTAAACATATCACCTTCATAACACACCGCCCACCTATCGAACGTGAACGACAGAGCTCCGCAAAATATGGCCTTAAACTCAACTAATCAAACTTATGATCTGTTTGATGTTAAAAAAAACAAATTATTATGGCAAGGAGATCTTTCTCAATTAAAGACATTCGTTGCGAATGAAGTGAATCAAAGAGATGCTGAAAATGCGATATGGCGATCGCCGAGCGGAGGCACATGGTGCTTTAAAGGCGAAGGCGATGATCTGTTAGTAACGTGGCACAGCAAAAGCAAAACGATCTCTTTTGACGGTAAAGCGGCTGATGAAATTAAAGAACGAATTCACGAAGCTATAAGCAACAAATATACAGATTTGACAAATGTCGAAGTCGCAAATGTAGAAGCCACCAATGTTGAAGCCGCAAAGGTCGAAGCTACAAATGTCGAAGCCACAAATGTCGAGGCTACAAACGACGAAGCCGCAGATATCGAAGCCAGAGATAATACTAACGCTATCGAATTGGTCAACATCAGTGATTCTACCTTACTGCCTAATGATTTATGCGGTAAGTGGTCTGATCTAGCCGACACGGTCGAACTCCTCGAAGATCGAATGAATAATAACTTTATGGATATCGCAAAATCAATAAACAGTTTGAAAGCAAAGGAAGGATTAAATACGGAGCTCTCCCGTGAATATGTTGATAGTATTGTGCGGGAAAATGTAAAATTAAGACAGGATAATGAAAATTTAAGGGAGCGTTCTGAAAATCTTTCGTATACTATATCAGATGTAAGCTAAAGCTAAAAGATTTGAAAATGAGAAAGAATCCCTGATTACAGCTTTGGGAATGTCACAATCAGATCTAAATGAGAAATATAAAGGGGCTGATTGGCAAACTGTCAAAGGTTCTGTTATAAAAAACGGTAGCTGTAAACAGATGTCCGCATCTAGTATAGATGCTGATATCAATCCGAATGTCGAGATTAGCAACAGATTTGAAAGTCTAATTTACGAAGGCGATGAAGAATCTGATGATCAAGAAATTCCTAACACGACAAAAACAAAAGAGAAATTAAGCCTTCAACAAAAGGGCTTTGGTAAGAATCAAATGAGCGAATCTGATGACAAAGCTGCTCAATCGAAAGCCAACAAGCAGAGGTCACAGCAGATTAATCCGGAACAAAAGCATAAGAAGAATAAGAATAAGAAACAAAAGGTGAAGAATAACGAACAAAAGGCAAAGGAAAACGAACAAACAGGAGAAGCGCATAAGGCAAGTGACGAAATAACGGCAGAAAGACAACGCACTAAAGAAACGGTCGTTATAGCTGGAGATTCGATTATAAAATATGTAAAAGGTTGGGAAGTATCCAACACTGACAGAAACGTAATAGTTAAGTCTTTCTCAGCTGCAACAGTTAATGATATGTCTGATTTCTTAAAGCCCACTGCACGAAAGCAACCCGATAAGCTCATTATCCACGCAGGCACAAACGACATACGCTATTCAAGTCCTAAAGAAATTGCAAAGAAAATTATCGAGTTAGCAGAGAATTTTAAAAAGGATTGCAATGATACTGAAGTCATCATCTCTTCTTTAGTCACTAGATGCGATAGAGAGGAACTTACAACGATGGTAAATGAGACCAACAATATATTAAAGTCAAGCTGCTTGAAGAAAAAGCTTGCATTTTTAGACAATAGTAATATTAATCGCTCTCATTTAAATAGTACATATTTCTTAAGTTCGCATAATTGAAATGAGGACGGGTCGAGGAGGAGTGCTAATGATGCCTGTTTAAATATTCCGAAAACAAGGGGTTTTAAGATGGCTATGCTTAATGTAGTTAGCCTTCCGAAACACCTTGATGAAATCCGATTATTACTTCACGATAAATATTTAGATGTTTTAGCAGTTAATGAAACCCGTTTGGACTCCACTATTTCCGATGGGATTGTTAGCATTGAAGGTTATGACTTGCTACGTGCTGATCGGAATAGAAATGGAGGAGGGGTATGTATTTATATAAGACGCCATATAAATTATGAAAATCGCCCTGATCTAGTTCCATCAGGCCTTGAAGCTGTCTGTGTGGAAATTAAGCAGGCTAATAGTCAATCTTTTATAGTTTCAAGTATTTATAGACCACCATGTTCCGCTAGTGAAGTGTTTATAAAAATTGAGAGGCTAATCAAATCAATTGATGATGAAAATATAGAATTTTATATTTTGGGAGATTTAAATTGTAATATGCTAGAAACAACTTTGTCCACCACTAGAAGGCTTCAAGACGTTTTGGAATTATATCAACTTACACAATTAATTAATAAACCTACGCGTATTACCCAGTCTAGCCAATCATTATTGGATGTAGTAATTGCGTCAATGCCTGAAAAAATAATTTTTTCAGGTGAAGTCCATCTCGGAATTAGTGATCACAGCCTCATTTATAGTATTCGTTAAATAAGTACAAGAATAAAAACTGATTTACAAGGTTCTGTCGAGTATAGAAATTTTAAGAATTTCAATGTTTCAGGCTTTCTATATGACTTACAAAATATACCTTGGGAAGAAATAAGATTTAAAAGAAATGTAGATGAAATGTGGCGGTTATGGAAAACATATTTTGTAGATGTGCTGGATAAACATGCCCCTGTGAGAGTAAAAAGATTAAGAAAAGGGGGCAATATTCCTTGGGTAAGCCGGGAAGTAAAGGAAAAATTATTTAAAAGAGATGCTCTTAAGCGTAAAGCAATAAAGACAAATAATGAAGAAGACTGGAGACTATATAAGTCATCTAGAAATGTTGCCAACACTGCTTTGCGCAGTGCTAAAAGAGATTATTATGCAAACAAATTCACAAATAATAAACAGAATCCTAAATATGCTTGGAGAACAATAAACGATATATTAGGTCGAAACAGAAACAGACTACGATTAATGAAATTAAACTTCCAGGTAAAACTGTTACATCGACCGACGAATTAGTCGACATTTTTAATGATCATTTTAGTAATATTGGCCCAAAGCTTGCTGAGTCTATTCCAAATGACAATGACGTTAGTTTTCGAGAGTTTATTACTCAACAAAAATCTAAGACAAAGAACAGTTTCTCATTTCGACCAGTGAGTGTAACATTGGTTTACACTCTTCTAGTTAATTTGTCTACCACCAAAGCGACTGGAATGGATAAAATTTCAGCTAAAATTCTACAAGTAGCAGCTCCAGTTATTGCACTTTCTCTTGCTGAGATTTTTAATATGTCAATTGACTCGGATCAATTTCCTTCTGATTGGAAAGCTGCAAGGGTTATTCCATCGTTTAAGAAAGGTCAGCGATCCATGTTGGACAACTATAGACCGATATCAATCCTTCCTGTAGTAAGTAAACTTATGGAAAGAATTATGTATGATCAAATGTATGAGTATCTTAACCAGAATAATCTTTTCTCAAAACACCAATTTGGTTTCAGACCTTATCATTCCACAACTATACTACATTATTGGATTGTACGAACGAATGGTATACCAACATGGACCGTGGGCTGTATAACTTAGTTGTTTTTCTTGACCTAAAAAAGCATTCGATACAGTCGACCACGAAATACTGTTAAGTAAGTTTGAAATGTATGGTTTCCAAAGGAAAGCATTAAATCTTTTACGTTGCTATTTGACGCACCGAACTCAAAATTGTCAATTGGCCAGTATACTCTCGGTGGAGAAAGAAATCATTTGTGGCATTCCTCAGGGAAGTATACTCGGCCCTCTCTTATTTATTATGTATATAAATGATTTCCCAAGCTGCCTAGAACGCACAACTCCAAGAATGTTTGCTGATGATACTAACTTAACGGCAGTAGGCAGAACAATTAGTGAGGCGGAAGAGAGGGCGAACGTAGACATGAGGAATGTTCAGAAATGGCTTTGTGCAAATAAACTAAGTCTAAATATAGCGAAAACCGAGTATGTTTTAATTGGAACACGACAAAAAATAAGTAATATTGATACCCATCAAGGAGTTAAAATAAATAATCAATTGATTAAAAAAGTTAAAAATACCAAAGCTCTTGGAGTTGAATTAGACGAAAACTTGAGTTGGGAAAAACACATTAACCATATTAGCAGTAAAATATCATCAGGTATTGGGGCTATTAGAAAAATGAGGGAGTATGTCGAACAATATATACATTTTGATAAAAGTTTATAATGCCTTAATCCAATCTTATTTTGATTATTGCTGTGAAGTATGGGATATACTTAATAAAGGCCTGAGCGAACGTCTACAGAAATTCCAAAACAGAGCGGCTAGGTTGATCATGAACTTAAAAAATGAACATGGTCAGTCTATTTTGGCACGAAAATCTCTAGGCTGGGTAACACTTGAAGAGCGTAGGGCACAAATGAAAGCCAGGCTCATGTACAAGACAGTTAATGGTTTAGCCCCCCAACGACTATGCGAAGCTTTCCAAAATCTGAATACCATTCATGACCATAATTTGAGAGGTTCTTCAACAAGGTTTTATATTCCAAGACCAAAAACAGAATCCTTAAAAAAAAGCTTCCAATATAGTGGGGCTAAACTATGGAATCAGATACCTGAAGAGATACGCAATTCGGTATCGTAATAATTCGTTCTGTAAAAAGCTATCTTCCTCGACCTTAATCTCGACTTAAAGTAGTAGTTAATTTTTTGTCTAAATAGGTATATAATTGTATTTGTTATGTATGTAATATTAGAGCTAGTTTATAAATAATAATTGTAAGTACACATCCCTTTTGGAAATCAGCTTTTGCTGAAAAGGCCAATGTGTTTAAATAAAGTTGATCTATCTATCTATCTATCTACTTATTATGCAAACGTTTTTGAAGCCATTTAAAAAACTCGCAGAATGTGTTTTATTAGGTCTAAAGCCACTCGCGCTGCGCGCACGTGGCTTTAAACCTAATAATACACTCCTGCTCGTTTTTTAAATAGCACGTAAAGTGTTGCTTACGAGTCTTTCAAAACATTCCGCGAAAATCTCGCGTGGGCAAAGTAACATGGCCGTGACAGGGCAGGAGGGAGAATGTTTTTCACGAGGAAGAAAAAGGCTGCGTGATATAGACTAAAAAGTAAGTACAATGATACAAACTTTTTTTATTTATTGTAGCGACAAATAAATACATATTAATATGTACCTGTCATGCAAATGAAATGTTGGTTGTTGGTCTTACCATACTGCGTGCCTTTGCTTTAATCTTTAATGTCTCTCTAAAAAAGATAACAAGTTGACGTTTGACTATTAGTATTGCATATTCATTTTCTTGTGAAATATCAGTGCTAAGCATTTCACACTTACCAATGACAATCCCTGAACCTTATAAGCACCTCAAATAGGCAAAGCTTTTATAGTAGCACAATGGCGAATGCGTCGATGTTGGGTGTGATCAGTTTCGAACGGTTCGTCCCGGATTGGGGTTTGGGTAGTGTTGCGCTAAAACAGTTGAGATTATCTGTCCTAAGTGAAATGCATACAAACTCTTATACAGGTCCTCGACTATCTACAGTGTTACACTTAGATTTCTTACCGCGATTAGACTCACGGGCATATCTCTGACTCGTTGATATAGTGATTGAGACTAACTTGGCACTTGAATCAGATAAGGCCTGGGCCGTAGCGAATATGAGATAACGATCGCATTTGCCCAAAACATTTCAGTCCCTAAAAAATATTCTTCCAAAAAATTGTTGGCGAGCGGGTGGAGGATTTTTCCGGACACACTAAAATATTATCCGGACAAATCGTAATTTTTCCGCACATACGAAAATTTTCAGGGACATAATTATGGTAATTTGTTTACTTTCTCCGTAATTGTCGTAAATTTAGCAAAACTTTTCGCTGACAACCAAAACAATTTGCCGATAAATCCAAAAACAATTTGCATAGTCTAGCAAACATTTGCCGAGTCTACGGTCCTGGTCGAGGCTTTACTTAGCTTTGTACTTCCACTGGTAGATGCCTGCGACTTCAGTTTCAGGGACATTGCTTTGTGGGTCGGTTTTCTCTCATTTTTTTTCATACGTGGCCCAGTTTTGGCAGGCAATTGGTCTACATGATTGCTTGAAAAATTGTTAGCTGATGCATTCGTTTCGTAATCAGCACGAGCCACGAAGTATTTGCAGTGCCGTAATCTGACTTAACTTTTCATTTTCTGTGTCCTTTACTTTAATAATGTAGATCTGAAATTGTGTAGGAAATGTAGTTATTCCGTTCATAAAGCATCTCCTTTCCTCTTTAGGCTCTTAATTTCCATTTTTCACCGACTCTAAAAGAATAGTGACGAGCATCGCAATGCTTTAAACTATCGATTTCTTGATGCTGTTTTATTTGACTGTGGCATTATATATCGTCAAAAATATTTTCAAGGACTTCTTCTATGGCATTCTGAAATATTTCAGCTAAGAATATCGTTTAATAGCTTTGTTAGCTGCACGCATATGTATATGTCTACGCAAATTTTCACTCCTCCAAAGATTTAGCACAATGGCTATAGGACTTGCCCATGCGGCTAGACCATCAACTTTCGTTATTATATATGTGTAACATTCTAACGGTTTGAGCTCTTTCTCTAAGTCTTTCCGTATGTGGAAAGGTATTCGTGGGTTTCACTACGGAAATATGCAGTGAATCTGTCGGGGGGTCAACCTCGAATGTATTGATGTTTATGCTGTACTGGAGTGAGAAAATTATACGAAATTCCATGTATTTGCAACCAAACACACAAGGCTAATAACTGACTGTGTTTTGTTTCAGAGTTGACCCCCTGTCACTGTTGTGACTTCATCTTAAACCCAAGAATACTGCGAAGAGGCTGTCGTTTCGGCTTCACTTGAGGATTTATGGGTAATTTATATAAATCAGCCGTCCTTTTACTTTCCTAATTCCACCAAATAAAAATTTATACTTTTCTGGTGGGCAATCAAGCTAGGGGCATTGACGGTGTTCATGGATACGTGAAGGAGATTCAGTTGTTTGGCTGCGCTAAAGCTGAGTATAGATTTATAAAAATTCCTTTCTCGAAGTGTAGCTTGGCAGTCGTGAACCCATGTGGTGTTCTCAGTGTAGTTGCAAACGTTCCGAGTACAGGAAGGGGTACTGATGTACCACAGGAGTAGATATGGCAATCCACTTTCGCTAGTTGTTGTTTTCCATTCTCATCTGTCTTTTTTTACGTTTCTTCGTCAATGAGGTTGATAGACGCTCCATCATCTACCAGAATGTTAAGGTGTTGCCCATCTTTTTCTCGTTAAATTTGCTCACTACTAAAAAATTTAAAGGTTAAATTTCTCCAGGGACATGCAAGCTCGATGGAGCATACGTATATTGTAGTGACAAGATTGCTACCAGTAAATATTGTTACTTGTTTAATGGGCGAATGGTAACGGACAGATCTAACTTTACCCTGGAAGCGAAGAAACGTTTGAACCCCGAGAGAATGCTCAGCCACTTTAGTGACTGGGTCAAGATTTCAAATTACAATTGATTCGCAAAGTTATATAATAATAATTATTTTGGATTGAAATTAATGTCAAACGACATGGTTTTAACAGTTAATGTTACTTACTCTACATCATCTATATAATTTTTGACACACATAATATTCTGGAAAAAACGATCACATTATAATCTTATAATCTTATAATCTTTCTAGAATTTCACATTAAATAGTAAATACTAAATACTAATTTACAATGTGAATTACATTTAAACTGTATAAAAAAATTAACTAAGACTAATGTTAAGAGTCAATATTTACAAGTAATCTTGAATAAAAATTTTAAAAATTTTGAAAAAATTCGATAAATTTACTTCGACTCCAGCGTTCGGTTAAAACATTCAATCCCATGCACAATTGGGATATTTTTAAATCGTTCAGTTCGATATCAAAAATTATACAGTTTTTCTCCATTTGATCTAGTTTGTCTCTGTCTTATCCGATTAACTGTTTCTGGCAATAAACTGTGTAATCTATGTCTACGGTCTATCATTGTTTTTATAAGTTTTCCGCCCATCTCTTCTCTGCGAGCCTTTAATGTTTTAAGTTTACAGTCCAGTAATGCTTCTTCATAAGTCAGTCCAGGACAAATTGTCCTAAGCGCACGCTTCTGAACTCGTTCTATGTCAGTAGACTGTTCCTTGGTTAAGTTTCCATGCCAAATTTGAGCACAATATTCAAGTGTCGATCTTATGACAGCTATATAAAAGGCTTTTAAATCCTGCTTTGGTGCATTATAACCTTTTAACATCTTCAGAAAATACAGTCTTTTTACCGCTTTTTTAACAATATAGCATGTGTTGGTTGACCACTTCAAATTGTCATCAATCCATTAACCAAGTAATTTGAAACATTTAACCCTTTCAAATACATGACTATTGATTTCTAGCGGTGGAATAACAGTTACATTTTTCCGAAAGTCAATTATCATTTCTTTGCATTTCGTTTGATTTAACTCCATCATATCTTCTTCAGTAAACCTTAAAACGCTCTTAACTTTACTTTCAGCATCACCCAGTTGC